GGAACCCAAGGTCTACCAGTTATGAATGTGAATATTTTGGGGTAATGATTCTCAAATTTGAGTGGGCATCAAAGTCACCCCGGGAACTTGATAAAAGAAAAATTGCTGGACCCCACCCTGAGAGTTTCTGATTCAAGTGGTCTGGGGTGTCCAGAGAATCTGCATTTTTAACAAGCTCCCCGGTGATGCTACCACTTTCAGAATCACTGTTTTAGAACTCAGTAAGTTGCTGCCCTCCTCTTATTCCTCTTCCCACCTAAAGCTAAATTATAGAGTTATTTAAAGCAAATTGATAAACTTTATTTCTTGGTCTTGGTGTGACCAAATAGACTTGCTTAGAAAGAAAGAATGCAAGAATCAACCATAAAATAAAATGCAGTCCTAGAAGGAAGGAAAAAACAGATGGAGGATATAGAGACAAAAACCAGAAATCTTTGAATTACCTGGTTTTTAGATTTGACTTGGGAACCATGTAAATAGTTAATATAATTATAAAAACAAGATTAAGTCAAAATTAAATGCAGAAAGCAATCCCTAAAAATAAAGAGCTAAATGAAATAAATGAGCCCAATGTGTGTGAGTTAGTGGCTTAACCATACAGAGAGGAATTATTTCAAGTGGCTTAAAAACATAAAAATTTGACTGTAGATTCCTAGTTCCACATATGCTAGACACAAATATCTTAACTTTTCTGTAATCATATTGTTAGCCATAATATTAGTATTGTTCTCTGAAACTATTATATATTGTAGAAAAAAGCAAATAAGTAGCTATATTAATGTTAAGAATTTATATTTTTAGCAAAAGAGATACAATAAAATCAGACAAAGATATAATAAGAAAACTATGGACCCTTATGAGTATTGATGCAAAAATCCTCAACAAAATACTAGCAAACCAAATTCAGCAATATGTAAGAAAGATTATATACTATGACCAAGTAGGATATTGCAGGAATGCAAGGCTAGTTTAGCATATGAAAATCAGTGGAACTACATCATATTAATAAAATAAAGGACAGAACTTACATGATCATCTCCGTAGATGCAAAAAAAAAATTTTTTTTTTGACAAAATCCAACACTTCTTTTTTCAGGATTAAAACACTCTGCAAATTAGGAATAGAAGGGAACTGCCTCAAGCTGATAAACTGCATCTGTGAAACGCCCACACTAACATCTTACCTATTGATGAGAGACTGAAAGCTTTTCCTCCCAAGATCAGGAAGAAGATAAGGATGGCTGCTCTTGCCTTCTGTTTAACATTGTACTGGAGTCGCTAGTCAAGACAATAAGACAAGAAAAAGAAATAAATAGGCATCTATATTGGAAAGGAACAAGTAAAATTTCCTTTATTTGTAGATGATATTATCTTGTACATAGGAAATTCTAAGGAATCCATACAAAATTATTAGAACCAACAAATGTGCTCAGCAAGATTGCAGGATACAAAAATCAATTGTATTTCTGTACACTGACTAGCAAAAAAAGAAAAAAATTTGAAAATAAAATATACATTTACTAGCCGTTTTTCCATAGAAGATGTATAAATGGCAAATAGGCATATGAAAAGATACTCAACATCATTAGTCATTAGGGAAATAGAAATCAAACCGTAAGGAGATACCACTTCACACTCACTAGGATGGCTATAATCTAAAAGATGGACAATAGCAAGCATTGGTAAGGCTGTGTAGAAATTGGAAATCTCATTTCATATTGCTGGTGGGAATGTGAAATGATGCTATCACTTTGGAAAACCATTTGACAGGTCCTTACAAAGTTAAAAATGAAATTACTTTGACCCAGCAATTCTGCTGTTTGCTATGTACCCATAGAATTGAAAACATGTACATAAAAACTTGCACATCAATGTTCATTCCAGTATTATTTATAATAGCCAAAAGGGGGAAATAGTCCAAATATCCATTAATTGATGAATGGATAAATAAAATGTGGTGAATTCATACCATGGGCTATTTTTCAGCTATGAAAAAGAAATGAAGCACTGATGCATGCTACAACATTTATGAACTTTGAAAACATTACACTAAGTGTAGCCAGACACAAAAAGCCTCAAATGTAAATCCATTCATATAAAATGTCCAGGATAGCAAAATCCATGAACACAGAAAGCAGATGAGAGATTGCTAGCAGCTAGCTGGCAGGAGGGAAAGACGAGGAATGACAGCTGGTACACACAGGGTTTCTTTGGAGTGATGAAAATGTTATGGAATTAGACAGTAGTTATAGTTGCACAACTCTGTGACTATATTAAGAACTACTAAATTATAAAAGTAACTTATATGGTATGTAAATGATATCTCAATACAAAGAAGATACAATAAATTCAAGTTCAGTAAAACTCAGTAATTCTAGATATTAAATATAAAATCTCTGCTTAAACTCATAATGTATTGTTGAAAATATATTTGTACCAGCCTGGGCAACTTGGCGAAACCTCATCTCTACAAAAAATACAAAAATTGGCCAGGTGTGGTAGCATACACCTGTAGTCTTAGCCACCCAGGAGGCTTAGGTGGGATGGCATGAGCCTGGGAAGTGGAGGTTGCAGTGAGCCAAGATCATGCCACTGCACTCTAGCCTGGGTGACAGAGTGATACCCTGTCTCAAAAAAATAAAAAATAAAATATATTTGTAGTCTGACCACTGGGAAGGCATAGAAACTATAACCAAACTAGTAGTAAGGAACACCCTTAGTGCTTATTGCAATATCACCATTGCAGCATCTGCATGGTGATATTGATGATATTAAGGATTAAAGGTTCCTTGGCAGAATGGCTGATTCCAGCTTAGGGCAGGAAATGTGCGAGTTAAGTCTGGGGAATCTTGGCATATCTTTTATCAGAAAACAAGGAAGCTATCAGTACCCTGGTCATGTCCAAAGGACTTAGGAGCCAACCTGAGAAGACTCCTTTTGGCTAAAGATGGTTTTTTTGGGAACCAGTAAGAGTGGTAACTGCATTGGATTGAAACACATTAATTATGTTTCCACTTATAAGTTAACATAATTGACCATCTTTGAAGGATGCTAGGGAACCAACTCATTCTAAAGACTTGTAAAGAATTGAGAACTTACCCTGCCTTTCCTATACTTGGGGGTGAACAAATAGTTGATGTGGTAAAGTTTTCTCTAAAGAAGAATTTCAGCTAGTAAATGAAGACAGAGTAATAGAATTAGAATGTAATCATTTTTCAAACTCCTGATGAAATAAAATATTTGGGCCTCGATTATCACAAAAGGAAACACAACTGGACACAATGTGTCTCCTAAGGGATCCCTGCACCACCACCTATGAAAAAGCTGTCAGAATAGCTCATTGAATTAGGTCAAGCTTATAGATCTACCTACCAGTTTACAAGAACTAAAGGAGGACAGAGGAACGGTTTAAAGGATACCACAGAGATGCAAGCAGCAAAATGCAGACCGTGGGAACTCCTATAGGATAAATGGCCCAGTTTCTTCAACAAACAAATTGAAGGGGGGAAAAAAAAGGAGGGCAACTTATGTATAAAAGAGACTTAGGAGACCCGTGAGCTGTATGCAGTATGTGGACCTTGTTTTGATCCTGTTTTAAACAAACGAACTATAAAAAGACATAAGATCAGGGAAATTTGAATGCCAGCTAGATATTTGATGATATCAAGGAACAATGTTAATTCTTCTAGGTGTTATAATGGTATGAAAGACACAAGGGGCAGGGCCTTGCATCCCTAAGCTTACCATGGGGCTGGTGGAGACCAGAGCCCAGGGAGGGAAAGAGGAGGCGCTGAGCCGCTGAAGCTCAGTTTACTCTTCCAAACTTCTGGATAAATCGTTTCTCCTCCATTGGAGAGGAAGGTGTAGTAGGAAAAAACAAACTCACTGTTTTTTCTCTCTACTCAAACATGCAACACAGAACACTTCTGTGACCAAATGTGTGGGGCAGGGAGCGGGGGCTCCCCCAACAAGCAATTCTCCAACACCAGCTGGGTGTCCTGTGATTCAATTCAATTCTGACACTACCTGCCTGGAGTTAGAGTCAGATCCCATAGGTAAAGGCCTTTGTCTCACAAGATCAGCCCTCACCCCCCAACTTCAGATGCCATTTGCAAATCCAGACCTCAGAGAAGTCTGACCAGCCAGCTTTTTGGTTCCAATAACGCCCTCCTTGGATTTGACTGTCTTCCTGAGTGGCTCACAGAACTCAGTGGAACACGTTTACCAGTTTATTATGTAGGAAATTAGAAAGGATACAGTCTTTCTAATGAACAGCCAGATGAAGAGTTGCATAGGGCAGGGTCTGTGGGAAGGACCTCCCACATTCTTGTGGAGGCCTCATCACATAGGCATGATAGATTATCATCACAATCCCCAGCTCCTCTCCCCTTTCTGGAAGATGGTAGGGTGGCGCTGAAAGTTCCGAGCCTCTCATCATGGCATGTTCTTTCTGGCGACCAACCCGCCTCCTGAAGCCCATCAAGAGTCACCTCATGAGAACAAAAGATGCCTCTATCACCCAGAAAATGCCAAGAGGCTTAGGAGCTCTGTGTCAGGAACTGGGGCCAAAGACGAAATATTAGAACGATAGATTTTCCTAGCACCCCTATTGCTTAGGAAATGACATGTTTTAGAAGCTCTGTGCCAGGAATCAGGGACAAAGACCAAAGCCTATAGTTCTTATTATAAATCACAATATCACAGCTGGACAGAGAGGCCAGAGTGTTACTGAAGGGCTGTCCTCCACGTGAAATCATGACTATTCAAAGTCAGGGAGATATTTTATACATATCCCTGGGTGCTGTATATGCAGAGATTGGCGATAGGACTTCGGGACATCATGTAGAAGTTTCTGTGTTACCAAGGTCTCCCTGGAGTTAACTCATTCCCTAAAGTCTGGAGAGGGAGTGGGATTTGTAGTTAGCCAAACCCTGTGCCCGAGTTCTCTTGGCAGGATGAGAGCTGACCCTGCCCTCTGCCTCCCTTTGTATTTCCCTCTAGCTGCAACAGCAAGCGCTACCTGGAGACACTTCCCAACACAAGCATCATCATCCCTTTCCACAACGAGGGCTGGTCCTCCCTCCTCCGCACCGTCCACAGTGTGCTCAATCGCTCGCCCCCAGAGCTGGTCGCTGAGATTGTGCTGGTCGACGACTTCAGTGATCGAGGTAGGATCTGACCCACCCAGCCTCCCACCCACTGCATTTCATCTGGCGACTAACCAAAGGGATGGCAGGTTTTCCCTTCTTTAGCAGCGTCAACATATAGGCCATCATTGGCTGAATGCTTGGACCTTGCAGTATGCACACATTCTCTCATTTAATCCTCACAACTCATGAAGTGGCTGCTATTTTTATCCCCTGTGTATCCATTTAGAAATGCATTAACAGGAAAAAAAAAAAAAAAAAAAACTTGACAAACATAGCTCAAAGAAGTGGAAGGATTCATTCACTTATCTGTCTCTATCTATCTATTTGTTAAATATTGCATAACAAGAGATCCAGGACTGGTACAACTGGCTACTCAGGGCTGTCATCCAAGAACCAGGCTGTTTCTTTCTTTCTGCTTCCTCATCCTCATGGTCACAAAATGGTACCTCTGGCAAGTCTCCCTTTCAGGCAGGAAGAAGGATGGAGAGCAAAGGGCACAAAGCCGTCACCTGTCAAGGCTTTGCCTTCTAATTCTGGAAAGTGTCCCTTAGACTCTCAGCCAGATCTCTGACGCTTGGGCACCATTCTCTGCAAGGGAGGCAGGGAATGTGAGTGTTTTTGTTTGTGGCCTCTTTGGTGAGTTAGGAATGGGAGAAATGGATTGGAGATGTCAAGTAAGCCCACCTGGGATTGCAGTTTCTGCCACACCATTTTACAGATGAGAAAACTGAGGAGACTCAGAGAAGTTAAGTGACTTACCATTGGTCACATAATTCTCAGATGGTAATGTGGTGACCTGTCTGTCTGGCCCCAAGCATGTGATCTTAGCTACATACAGAGCCTCTTCGCTGTGAGTCTCACTCTGTGGAATAACTCTCCGTCTTGGGGTGCAGAGATAGGGCTAAAGTGAAATTCAAGAAGAAATTGCCGTTCATCCTATGGCCTCTAGCTATTCTTTGCATTAAAGCTTTCACCAATTGCAGCAAAATCAAGAGAAACCCTTTCCTCTTCTCACCTTCCTGCAGAGGCACTAATAAGCAGTGAAGAGAGGGAGTATGCATGCACTCCAGAATAATTGCAGCTGACAGTTTCGGGAGCGGCTCACCTGCCCATCGCCCCATTTTAATACCACACTCGTAATTACATGCCTTTAGCACAGAGGCCTCAGAGGGAGATAGAGAGAGAGAAAGAGAGAGAGTCTGTGTAGACATTTAACTCAGTTCTTACCTAATCTCTAAAGTGTTCCCTACCTCTTGACATATACTCATTCTGATGCCACCCTTTACATTTCCTTCCTTTCTGTTATCACTTATCACAGGTAGAATTAAAATACGTATTTGTGTGAACACTGGTGTGTTGTGTGTCTCCCCTACTAGACCGTCTATCCTGATTGCAGGGACCAGCATATTAGTCTTGTCCACCACTGATCCCCAGCTCCTTAGGCATACAGTAGGTGCTTAATACATGTTTGATGAATGAGCAGAGCTCGGTTCTTCAGTTTTCTTAGTACTTCCACCCTGGAAGTACTGACGGTAAGCCTCGAGCACACTATATGAGATTTATCGATATCCGCAGAGCGAGGACTATGAGCCCGCTGAAGGTGGGGGTGTGCCTTCCTCATCCAGCTGTTGGGCAGAGAGCCTGGCAATGGCTGTCTCTGATCCTGGCCCTGCCACATACTGTCTCTGTGACCTTGACCCAGTCACTTCACCTCTCTGAGCTTTAGTTCCTTCATCTATAAAATAGGATCACAGTAGTACCTACGACCTCTTAGGTGGCCATGACCATCAAATGAGTTAATAGAGGTCTATCAAGTGCTTAGGACAGTGCCTGGCACAGAGTGAACATTAAAAATAGACATCTGAGCTTGGTATCATTTCTGTTGTGGACATTACTTATGATTGGTATGCAGGAAGGGGAGTCAGGGATGAGTGTACAGAGGAGCATGCACAGAACGGATGTGTGGGTGTAGGTACGTCTTTCCTTTCTATAGGGAAGATTTTTGCAAACTGTAAAACACTGAGAAAATGGTCTCTGGTCTCATCCTCAACCTAAATTATCTCCTTGTCCCTTCACCCCTCTCTTTATAATAGCAGCCCCCACTTTGGGGAGAACCTAAATATGCCAGGCCCATGTATTCTCTCATTTATTCTTGACAGCAGACTCTGAGGGAAGCCTTGGGGTCCCTTGTCTCAAATGAAGAGCCCAGGCTAAGTCATCTGCCCAAAATCACAGGCCATGGAGCGGCACCCCTAGGCCTATGGACTCAGCACCCAGGCCCTGGCTCCACTACTGCCTCTTGCTTTCTCTCTTCTGCTTTCCCTTTCCCAGACTCCTCTCCCAACCTCATCTTTCTCCCAGCATGGGCTGCCACCCACATGCCAAAGGCTCACAGCTGGCAGTAGAAAGGAAAAAAAAATGAGCAAATTGCTCAGGTGATTAATTGATTTTCTGCAGCATAAACAGCCTCTGCCACCTGGGGACAAACACCTGGCCTTCCCTCAAGTAGGGGCTGCCTGCTCTGAGCAGGCTCCTTGTTGCACTCTTTTTCAGGGCCACAGCAGTGGCAGTGAGGGCTGCGCTTACTCTCTCACTCCCTGCAAAGACCCAGCCACAGCAGGGCTCTCTGTCCTGGAGCACAGCACACACCATGCTCTGTCCTGCCTTGGGATCCTGTGCTCTTCCTTTGCTTGAACACCCTCTTCCCAGCTCTTCCGACGGCTGGCCGCCCTCATCCCACCGTCATTTAGGCCCCACCACTACTGTTGTTCACCATGCTGCATGCACAGTTACATGGCTATTTGTTGAGCTGTTTATTCATTTTCAGTTTTCCCCCACTAGACCACTTGTGGTCTAGAAGGAGGTGATTAATAAATATTTGTGAATGAGTCAATAGACGCATGAGGAGGGAGGGAGGAAATGGATAGCAGCTACCCACGCATACCGAAAACCATCACCAGCAGCAGGGCCATCTTCAGCCAGCGAGACAGATGTGGCTGTGGAAGACACTGCAGTTTCTGCAGGGGCTGGTGCTGGCCCACGTCTGTGTTTTCAGGCTCAGGTCCCTGTAACCTGTTTTTCGGAAGTATCAGCTGCCCTGGGGTTGGGCTTGCAACACTCAGCAGGATCTGCTTCTGGGCATCACAGGGCATCCGTCCTCCAGAGATGGAATAAACCAGACATCAGCCAGATTCAAAACAAGCATCTCTCCTTGTTCACTTAGAAAAGAATTTCAAGATCATCTAGGTCAGTGACTTTGTGCCTGCTCCTCAAAGCAGCAGAGGCCTCAGAGAAGTCTCAGGAAACGCTGTGAGAGTGTGGAGAACCTCATAGGCACAAGTGGGGTTCAGGTGCCTCTCCTGGCATGGTCTGTATTAACTTTCTGAAAAAGTGTTTACTAGGGGGAGTTCCACTGCTAAAAAAAAATATGTGGAAACCACTATGTAACACAGCCTGCTCATTTTACAGATGGGAAGCCCAAGGCCTGGAGCAGTAGGCAGATTTAACCAGGAGCACACAACTAGCTGGTTGCAGAAGAGGGACAAGACCCCATATCTGGGTCGCAGTGCAGCCTTGTGCCTCCTCACCTCAGCTGGTTAAGTGACACATCTGCAGAAATGCATTATTCCTTTCTATTTTCAAGGGCACTTCTTAATAAATTACTTTCCCATTGTATTAAAGTGCATACTTTTTGCTAAAAAGAATTCATCATCAAATGTGTTAGTCCTAACCTATAATGGTTTGCACCTCTAAATATCCCAGTTTCCTTAGTGTTGTACTCAGCAGTAAAGATACCAGAGTAACTCCTCTCCCCCACAAAAAGTGTAACAATCTTGATAAAGAAAAGATATGACCGCTTCATAAGAAGGTCATTCTTTAAGTGCATCCGTTTCTCCAGAGAGGAAAAATGTTTATCCAATGTAGTGCCATTCCCAACTCCTAAAAAGATAGAGAAGAAAAATAATACTGTCCCATTTCACAGATGAGAATGAAATCCAAGACCCCCCGATCACTGCCCCTTTTTCTCAACCAATCAAGCACCCAGCCCAGAGGAGAGCTCCCACCTCACGCCCCTCAGTCTTGCACCTCGGCTGTCATGTTTTGCAACCTGCACTTTTCAGAAAAGTAATCATTCTTGTTTCAAGAAGAAATTCTCAAGGCGGCTTTGTAGGAAAACTTTCTCAGCAGTGATTGTTTTAAAAATGAGATTTGAGAGAAACAATTTCAGAATTATGGAGAGGCCTGTCTAAAGTATGGCAAATATCGACCATCCTACAAGACAGATTTCTCTGGGCTACATTAGCAGAGGCTGTTCTCAGAGCTGAAATTCATAGATGCTAACTACAAGCTAGATTGGTACTGCCTAGCCGAAGGCATTTTCCTCTGAAATGAATCTCCTCCAGGATCCTCAGGGCAACTCATTGTAATTCAGCTAAGGGTCGAGACCTCGGGTAGGAGACAAAATTGGAGCAAATGAATTCTCGAAATAAGACCCAGAGCTTTGTCCAGGCAGCATCGGGGACTGGAGTGGAAGCATACACTGACACCAGAATAATCCTGGCCCTGCTTACAAATAGAACACTACAGTTTGCCAGGGGTGTCCAAAAGCTCTTCAAATGTATGAGCTTTGCTCGAGGATTAGGAGGACATTGAGGTATTTTTGCACATGTGGAAGGGAAAGATGGGGCATATAGGCTGCCAGACCTGTCCGTGGGTTGTACTGCCTGGGTGGCATGTTTTTATTAGGAAAAACAAGAAAGGTCTTGTTCATTTGTTTGTTTTTATTTCCTGTTCTCCTTAGCCTTTACCACTTTCAAACAGTGTTGTTTTTCCAGAAAAAATAGATATGTGGTAATGGAAAGAATTACTGTGTTTGGATTAACTGGAGGCTGCCTGGAATGATATGGTACAAAAGTGACAGGCTGTGGTATGATCTCATTGACAGCCTTTTCTCCAGCTAAATTCCCTTTCTACAAACAAACATAGGGAATGGTTCCCAATAGAAGCTCTTAGCAGGT